AATACGTGCACTCTGAAAAAACATCACGCTTTTATGTGCCATTTTGTCATAAAATCTATACATGAACATATTACAAGGGCGAAACTTATTACACAAAGTGCTCACTACAAACGCACCACAATACCTTGCCGGGCTCATCAAGGAGAACAGACCATCACGCCCACTCCGTTCATCCTCGCAGCGGCTTTTAGCCACTCGGAGACGGTCATGGCATCGCGTGCTTTTAGCTGTGCCTCTGCTACTGTCTGGAACACTCTTCCTTCATTAAAAGCCTGTGTACCTTTAAATCTAAATTGAAAACTTGTTATGTGTACTTTAGTCTGTTGTCCCTCCCTCGCGCATCTCCGATGAGCACGGTTGGCAACGTACGGTGCGAAGGAAATTCAACATACACAAGTCTCCTTTGTTGATCAACTGTTGCATCAGGGGCTCCTCAAACTTGTGTGGGTCGTGAGGATTATTTGACCATACCTCACCATGCTGGCCAGTGCAGTTGGGTGAAGACGGGGAACAGACATGGATACATATATGTGCAGCAGAACAATGGATTTTTGTTCAGTTTAACATGTACGCTTTCGCGACCAATATAATCCATAAGAGGTTTTTATGGGTTCGATCGTGTAAATATAAATGAGTCGCTAAACCCACCACCATAAGACATGGCCAATTAGTAAGGTATGTCACGTCAAAAAACGTGCCAAATCGTTACGAGTACAGCACACCGGTGTGTTGGAGAGTGAACTCACAAACAGCTAGACGCTTCTATTAAATTGAGTACAGAGTAGCATCTGCACCTTTCTGAATGTACCATTCAAACAAATAATCTTTCAGATCGGCATTTCGTTCCTTATATATAATCATCGCTAAGTGTACCTACAAAGTTCTAAACGTAATCCTGACCTCCGTGTTTCTCTGGAGGGGGGGGATAACCGAGTATCACGGGAAGTCGTGTTGACATCATGACCACTTCACTGTGAATGCCGGTTCGTGTGTTGTATTATGTGCGCACTAGCTGCAACAGGTGTTGTGTGTCACGAACTCTTCTTTTGTTAATAATACAAGGGTACAAAAGCGGTCCTCCACAGCGGTGGTCAGAAAACAAACTGAGTGGAGTGGACAGCGGGAATAAAGGGCAGAGTGGGATGCACGCAAGGACACTGCAGTCATTAATTATTAATACATTGAACGGCACGAACAAGAAAAACCGTGCATTCGAATGGATTCCGTAACAACGTTCAACGTCTATTTCTCCCAGAAGTATTTCTTTTTACTTAAGTGGCTAAGTTAATCATTCATGCATTACCCCATCACGTCACTTGTGATGACGTTATCTCGTTTATAATAAAGTTATTAGTTTTAGACGTAAATGGCCTAATGACAATTGGACAAAGCCCATCTCGCGTGGCTTACCTCCCAGGTCCCCATGCCTACCCCGGTAAGGCAATGTCAGTGAAGACTGGGGTAAGCCCAAATCACTCATCATTAGCCAGATTGTGTGATGTCATCTCAAAGGGTTGATTGGCCAATGTAATTTACTGAGAGTTTTTGGCCAAAGCTTTGATACATTTGCCACATTATCTACATGTAAAATCCGTAACAGCAACACATAAAAAGTTCATATCGGATCGTCTCTACGGGAGTTATCGTGATCCTCAGATACACGCCACAGTGGAAAGAAGTTAACTACCTCGCCTCGTGTACAGGAGGTTGTGGGTTCGATCCCAACCCCGACACCTGTATATTTGGAGTTCGCACGTTCTCACTGTGGTCGTGTAGATTTTCCCTCCACATTTAGAATCAACATGTGTTCAAGGTAACACATTCCTGCAGAGGGAGCTGGTAGGAACGTTGGGTTGCTCGGTCAATGGCCAGGGTCAACGGCGGCGTGGTGTATTCCGCAAATATGCCTAACTGTGAGGGCGGGCACAAGCCGGCGTGAGTAGGTTAAACGTTGAGTTTTATAAGGGCACCACGGGGTGACCAGCCCCTCCCCACCCCTCCCCACCCAGCCCCACCCCCCACCCTCCCCACCAGCCCCTCCCCACCCAGCCCCCCCCAACCCCACCCAGCCCCTCCCTGCACGACGGACGGACACAATAATCCCCTGTGGGCTGGTGTAACCAGGAGGTTCCTACCAGTATTTGGCTGCTATATATATATTTCCACGTGATAAGCCACTTAGTTGAGCTATCATTTGTGGCCAGGTCACTTCTCAAAAAGATCTAAACAGCTCAAGTGGGCCTTACCTGGTAAAATAAAAAAAATAGTTTAGTTTAAAGCTTAAAAAAGCGTTTAACCTTAGTTAGAAAGCATTTACAAATATACAGCATCACAATTAAAATACATATGGTCATTTTGTATATATACTAGTCATTTAAATTAAACCGTGAGTTTATACAGAAATAGTGTCATGACCTTAATTGAGGGTCCATTGGCACTTCAAAGTGCAATATACAATGGAGACTTGGAAGACACGTGAGATAAACATCACTAATCTTACTGTCGATGATGTCATGCGCGAGTTTATGCCACTTAGTGATATTTTTGTCGTTGGGATAATCAGATTTTTCGAGCTTTTCCACTTATCCACAAACTATTGCAAACGGTAAAACGTTCCAAATATAACAGGATGTATGTTGAACTTCTTTCACACCCTACGTAGCCAACCGTGTCAATAGGTGTTGGATGACACAAACAAGTGCATAATTGCAGACAATAGGAAGAATATGACCACAGATCATAGAATCTTTCATGGATTCTACAACTTCCATGGATAACAGGAGTAGCAGGCAATGTATGTGGTTAGTACAACAGCATGGCTGACAGACAGGAAGGATGCAGTTCTTCCACGAAACCACCTCTGGGTGCCTTATCTGGGGATAAGCATGGATAATACGGTGAATGTGCTGCCACTTTCCAGTTACTCCTATCATATGTGCTTGAACGCGAACAACAGGAAGATCCACAGATTGAATCAGGAGTATATCGGGAGCACTGATAATAGGAAAGCGGGGGAAATGCGTTTCGCTGCACCTGCCAAAAGTATGGCGTACATGCATTATTATTGAACCCGGAGCTGAAAGACACCCATTTACACACTTGAATCATTGCCTTTTTTGCAAAGGCGACCTGGGTTAAATCAATAAATATCAGCGTAACCATGGTGACACTGAGCGGAACTGGAAGGTTAAGTGTTAAAATCCTTGCCGAGGGTTGACTTGGAATTTCCACCAAAGGAGATGGAAACCATTTTACAATCAAAAACATTAAATTGAATATCTCCCTTCTCAAAGCAGCAGGGAAAATTTGACATCCCCATGCCAGGCTCCCATCTATCCTAATGACCACTGCTGAATTTCCTTACTGTACTGCACTCACAACAGTAACATAAGAACTAAAAATATATACTTTTATTTTACCAGATAAGGCCCACTGAGCTCTATAGCAATTTTCCAGAATCGACCTGGCCACAAATAGTAGTTCAAATTAGTGGCTTATCGTGGAAATTTATAGCAGCCAAATACTCAAAATGCATGTTGGTTGACTCGAAATGTGGAGGAAACTCCTGGAGGGCCTGGGGAAAAATCCATGCGACCATAGGGAGAGAGAAAATGCAAACTCCAAATATATAGGTGTCAAGGTCTGGATCGAACCTATGAACTTCTACATACCAGGCGAATGTAGTTAACATCTCGCCACTGTAACCCAATGACATGTCTTGCTCATGTCACCGCCAGTGGAAGGTCTCCACCATAGGAAGCTCTAGAGAGCCCCTCTATGAAAGTATTCTGCCTACTCTTCCACTCTGGCCAGACGTCTTGGAAGTGCTCAGGGTTACCGACACTTTACCCCACCACACATGATCTTGTGATGGATTAACTGCATTAATTGGAAATGAAGATTAATAGAAAGAAAAGGAGCATGTAGTTTGTGGACAAAATGTGTAAATTATCGGGAAAATGTTAGCCTTGAATCATTGGAAATTTAAACACTGGCTTAATGAATAGTATTTTACGATGCCATATCAAGCATTAGCCTGTATTTTGGAGCCACCTGCTGACTAAACACGTGCTAGTGCAACGATGCTCTTGAGCTGAGGACGGGAATGAGTGCCGGTAAAAATCATGTCTTTTTACAAGTGTCTCTTTTGACCAGGAAAACGTTGGAAGACGACGATTTGCGTTTAGTTTTTTTTTATATTTTGTACGGCAAGCAACCCAGAGACTTGTGTAAGGAGGAAACATCGCGGTTGTTTCTCCATTAAAGTCTGTGATTTATTGCTCAAAAGATACCCATGTTGATCACTTGTTTACAGTCCTGAACCAGTGGTGGAATATCCACATGGCGGGGGTGTGAGGAGTTTATCGAGAGGACCATTGTTGACTTCTCGACAAATTGATACTCATTGTATCGACCCCGGAAGGATATGGAAGTGGTTGTGATGATGTAAGTGGTTGTATGACGACAGTGGTGGTGGAAGTAGTTGGGGTAATATTCGTGGTGGAAGTGGTTGTGGTGATGGAAGTAGTTGTGATGGGATGGTGGTGGAAGTGTAAGTAGTTGTGGTAGTGGTTGTAGTCGTGGTGCTCGTGTTTGTAGAAGTGGTTGTGGTGTGGTAGTATTGGTGGTTGTTGATGGTGGAATGGGTGATATGGTAATAAAATATAGTACAGAAGAAGTAGTGATGTTACAGAATTATGGTAGTGGTTGTTTTTCCAGTTGTTGATGTTATACAGTACAGTATTATTAGGTTAATTATGCTAAATTCAACTATGTTGATATGTAGATGTTGTTGGTGACGATGTTCATTACGACGGTGTAATTATGTTTCGGATATGAAAGACGTGTCGATGGTCTTAATCATGGCGGTGGGAATGTTGACGTTGTGGACGTTTACCAAACTAAACTAGTCCGCGCTGACGTTACCGACGAGAGCGAGTTTCGGCGTTAATAACAACGATGACAACGATGATGATGGTGACGATGCGGGTGCCTCGTACCCTCTGGCTGCAGGAATATTCTGCCCAGCTCGCCGTGGCGGCTCAGCAGCTGCCGCACGTGCTTGACGCGCAGGCGGGGCGGGATGCGGCTCAGGTAGACGACTCCGGGCACCACGGGCCTCGCCGAGGGCTGCCCTGCTCCATCATCATCATCATCCATCAACCCCAACATCATCATCATCACCATCAACCCCAACATCATCATCAACCGGGCCGCTCTCCCTGGACTCAGGCCTCCTCCGCCTTCGGCCATGGGAGCTCCACGTGTGGGGGACGGTGGGAGGGGGACTCGCTGAGCACCCTTTGACCCCGCGAGGTCAAACGGTGCTCGGCAGGAGGTGCGCGGACGCGGGGCGGAAAGGACGAAACAACTAAACGCAACGAAAACAACGACGACTACGACGACAAAGCGGTGCTGCGGAAACGAGTGTGCAATCTCGATGAGTTAAAGGCGCATCGCTCTCGTTGGACTTCCCTTAATAGCGCGTGGAGGGGAAAGCCGCCATCTTGGGTAAGGAGGGGGTAGGGGGAGAGACTCCCACGGAGGCGTGGACGTGACGTCATCAAGCGGGGACGTGAGGGGAGGGGGGAGGCAGGTGCTGCTGCTTCCTCACCCAAGATGGCTGCCGTGCTCAAGGAGCTGGGAACCCCCCCCGCAACGCCCCCCCCACCCCCCGGGCCCCCCCGCCCCCCGAGCCCCCCCCACCCCCCGGGCCCCGCCCCCCCCCGGGCCCCCCCCCCCCCCGGGCCCCCCCCACCCCCGAGCCCCGCCCACCCCCGGGCCCCCCCACCCCCCGGGCCCCGCCTCCCCCGCCCCCCCCCCCACCCCCGGGCCCCCCCCCCACCCCCGGCCCCCCCCACCCCCCGGGCCCCCCACCCCCCGGGCCCCCCCCACCCCCCGGGCCCCCCCCACCCCCCGGGCCCCGCCCCCCCGGCCCCGCCCACCCCTCGCCCCCCCCACCCCCCGGGCCGCCCCCCCGGCCCGCCCCCCCCGGGCCCCGCCCCCGGGCCCCGCCCCCCCAGGTTCACGTGAGTGGCGAGTGGCCGTCTTGACCCCAGGGTCGTCGTTTGACCTGCGGCTCTTTAAAGGGACTGCTTCGTGTGACTCGTGTGTGTGTGTTTGTATTGGGTATTAGCACGCACACACACAACAAGCGAAAGACAAACGGAGCAAATAAAAAAAAGGTTGAAGCAAAGGTTTGCATGTGAGGTTCGAAACCCAAGAGGGCTTATATGAAAACCCACTTCAAAAAAAGAAGAATGTTTATACAATCAATCAATTGATCAATCAATTAAACAGCATACTAATTACAATTACACATGTTAAACTCAGTGAACTGTTTATAACACATGTGGGAAGTGGTGACACAGTGGTTAGCACCCTGCACTATAAAACTGAACAGTGATCTGGGTTTGATTCCCAGTCACGGTTGGACCGACCTAATTCACGCGCATTGCGGCCCTCGAAATATTATGTTTGTTGCTGAATCTGAGAAAAAAAACGTTCTCTTATTGTTGTTTTGGTTTGCAGACCCCTGTCCGGACCTGTCCCCTGCGCCGAGCAGAGCGAAGTACGGTGATACAATTCCCATGATGGTGATGGACACGGCTGTCATCCAGCAGTGGAATACAGAGGGCTGGTGCTCACAGCAGCAGAGGGCAGCACTGGACCGCCAGCTCTGCTCATGGGCTATGAGGAAGGAACATTGGCGATTGTATCTATATATATAACATTTTTATGCCAGTGTTGTGTTGTCCAGTTATTTGCTATTTAAGAGTACAGCTATATATTGTAGGAGCTGGGTGATGTGTTGTATGTGTGTGTGTATGCATGTTGAACTTCTATCGCACCGTACATATCCAAATCGTCCTAATCTGAGGTGTGGGGGGGACAACAAACTAAACAAAAAATTCCGTTCTGAAGAAATGAGTTTTCAATCTAGATTTAAAAGTGCATTGGTGCAATTAGTTTAGAGTTACCACTACAACTGCTACTTTAGCATTACGTAACACATACATCTTGTGACCAAGGTCCAGGTCCATGGCTCCAGCTCCCTCCTCCAGCCTTACAATGACGACCCCGAAAATATTCAGCGATAATTTTAAGCCATGCCCGTAGGAAAAAAAAACCCCACTCACAAGCTGCTCTGTGCTTAATGCCACCATTGGTGCCCGCCTGCTGGCAGACTGATGCCCACCTGGAGACTGGTTTTACTTCGGGTGGCTGATGTTGATGTACAGAGGGTGGACTAGCTGTCTTGTAACCCCCATTTCATTTTCTAAAACGTTATCTTTTTTTTTAAAGCAAGGTTTATTTAAGACAGAAATAAATATGCAAAGGAAAACAATGTTAGGGGTCAATTAATTGGGGTCAATTAATTGGGGGTCACAAGACATCTGGAGCACTATGTAGATTGTAGAGCAGCGTTCTTGATTGCAAGGCCCGCTGTTGGCCCCTGGTGGCCTTTAGTGTGGCCCCCAACAATCCACAACACGTGACAACACTCCCTCGTGCTGTCAAAGCCAACAAATGATTGAAATGTGTGGCGGTCCTCACACCGATGTCTTATCAGCGAAACTAGCTCCCCCCCCCCTCTGAAAAGTTGTGATGAACACTGCGGTACAGGTGTGGTCCAGATGTCTTGTGACCGCCATTCAATTCTCTTAAAACGAAATATCTTTTGTAAGTAAGGTTCATTTAAAACAGAAATAAAAAAGCAAATGAAATAAATGTTAGGGGTCGCAAGACATCTGGACAACCCTGCGGGATTGTTGAGAAACAGCTGTAATTTGGCACTGAGGTGGCTGAGCCAGACGATAGCGTCGGGAGGAGAGGGGTGGTAAGTCGCTTTGATGATGCTTCATGTGAATCGGGCATGGAGTCACTATATGTCCCCATAGCTCTGTTCTGGGCGACCATAGTCGCCGCTTATTGCCGGAGAGTTTTTTTTTCCATTTGCCGTGGTTTGCGCAGAACCGGTTTAGGGTTTGTGCTCGTACGTCGTCACTTTGCGCTGCACAGGGAGAGGTGCCACCGGGGGGGCCTCGTTCGAATGGTTGAGATCAGATGTAAATATATCTGAAATGCCAAGGCATGTAAATTTCATATATCACAATCTTTTCAGATCAAAATCGGAATCTGTATTTATCCTGGAGACATCCGATGAGCTATGGAGCTTTTTTTCATAGATGCTCAGTTGGGGTGGGTCATAAATGCTAATATTTTTGAATTGTTTATTTGTGTAAATATTTGTCAAGTATGCAAAGTTAATCGTGACATTTTTAAAACAAGATATTTTGTGAGTGGTGATTTCATAAAAAAAATGTTGCACCACTGCCACTCAGAATCACCAAATGATGTTTCACATGAAAATATAATTGCCGTGATATTCCATTACGATATATACGACATCGGCTGCACGCTTATCATCTCGTCCAATTTGTGAAAATCGGTATGTCGTTACATAAGGATGCATATACGTTAAATCAATGATGTGGAGCCTATGGTAGCAAAGAATCTAATAAGTATATCTGTACTAAATAATAGTTCATCGAAGCAACACAGTGATGGACGCAGGCTGGTCCAAATGTCTTGTGACTCCCAATTATTTTTTTCCCTTTGCATATTAATTTCTGTTTGAAAATGAACCTTACTTTAAAAATATTGAGTTTTACACATTTAAATGGGGTCACAAGGCATCTGGACCACCCTGTATATATATCTTTCACAAGGGAGACAAAGGGAAATTGGTATGCGTCAGTGAAATGTATATGAAAACATTCTGTACCAAGATATCCCAGAAGAGGGCAAACGTGTTTCATGTTTACACTTTTAAATCTGCGTGAACTCTTTGCGCAGCGCGCCGCTTTGTTCAACGTGTACGTTATTGTCTGTGTAATAGCCTGAACACACGGATCAGGGGACAAACACATTGACGATTACGACAAGTAAATTGGCTTGGGCAGGATACATTGCCGGAAGGGATGGACGATGGCCTATGGACGAGACTGCTTGACGGCTTTGGCAGCCAATGGAAAGAGAGCGTCCCAAAGTGCGACGCCTGTGGAGATGGAGCGATGGGATGAGTTGATGTGCAGGACTGAGACAGATGGTAGCAGCCTGACTGCGAGGGACGGCGATGGCGCAGGGAGGCCTCGTGCAGCATTGGATAGACAATGGCAGTCGATATACATTCGACAAGTACAATAGCCTAATGGGGCTAACGCTCTGCCCTTGTCCAAGCAGTGAACTGGAATTACTGAGATTCTTAGAATCATGGACTGTCATTCTAAATTAAACTAGGCGCTCTTAGGTAGTGGATGTGGACATGGCCCCAGTCACCAACAACTGCACTTAATTCAATCAAGTCTGGCTTTTGAGGATTAATTCGCCAGATAGGCACCGAGAAAGAAGACACTTATCTGCACAGCTAGGGAGCATAGGCTAAAGATAGTATGAGATAGGTCCCTGCCCTGTGAATGAGAAATTTACACCACTGCTCACAGAAGCTAAAGAGATGGTATATACTCTGAAATGATAAATAATTTTATTTCAGTGTCTGACAGATACCGGGGCATGGTGACCCATGCGTGTAATCCAGTGCTTTAGAGGCACGTGTTGTAGCTCACACATATGCCACCACGTGCTTGTAACCTTAGCATCATCATAATAATTGAATACAATAATACCTCGGTTTACGTCGGGGATGTGTTCCTGACATGTGACGAATATCAAAACGACGTAAAGCAATTTAGAGGGTAGGTGGAGGCAAATGCTGAGGCGATGGATACGAGAAAGGACGAATGATGCTGTCAGCGACGTGTGGGTTGAGGCGATGCAAATCAGGTAGTGGCATTAATAAAGTGACGACGTATTCGCGAAAGGACGTAAAAGGGGGAGACGTATCGGGGTATTACTGGATGTATATCACGCATCACATCTGCAGTGCTTGCCTGCTGTGCTGTGTAGTGGCCCTTAGAATGCAGTACAGCAAATTGATGAAGTGTGAATTTTGAATCCTGTCCCCTCAAATGGGTTTTCTCTGGGCATGCCTGGTTTTGCTCCAAATGTCAACTACTCATTCCATTAATGCTGTGAATCCATGGCCATCATGCTGGGCAGTTCTTTGTATGGCCCAACACAGCTCATTATTTGTCCCGATGCTTAAAGAGCCACATGGCGTTGTGGACTTAGCCCCTCTCCTCCATCTCCTCTGCTTCATCCGTGCTTCTTCTTTCC